CCCTTCTTCTTTCCTTCCTTCTTTGCCAGAAACATAAATGGATGCTGACTATCTTTAATATTCTTATTACATGACATATTATATATACACCTTTGGAAAATTTTTATTCTGAAATATTACTATGTACTGAAAAGACTGATTATAGTTATATAATATGGTTTGTATACAAAAGTATCTTCTTTGTCACTCCTGAAAGATATATGAAGTGGTCCAGTACATTACTGGTCTTGTTAACCCTTCACAGCTAACATAGCTCAATATCTAATTTCCTCCTGCCAGTCCCACCCTCCACTTGTTATCCTGATGCCAACATACTTCCTCTTACCACGCACCCCATGTTCCTATGCTTTGCAACCCAATAGCTGTCCTCAAAATAATCCCTGTCTCCTGTTTCTTCAGGATTTCTAGCTGCAAAGACCTGATTGAATAACTTTTGCAAAATAGCAGACAGTCAATAAAAAATAAGGTCATGCATGAGTTAAATATCTGGTCAAAATACAGCAAGTGCATGGTGTACTCTGTATCCAGAAAATGCACTATACACACAACTGCCAGATTTCCTTACAGTTTCCAGGTTTCTAAGGTAATGGAAACACAAGAAGTATTCTCCAACCTATATATTATTAAAGAGAAAGATTTTTCAACAAGACAGTTAAGAAGGTGCCTCTTCCACATTATTTGAACATATAACAAGTAAGTGCTTGCTGTCTCAAACCACGATTTTGAGTGAAGAAAACATCTTCATCTTTGACAGTTTAACAGCCACAAATTAATATGCAGTGATTTTATATCCTGGGAATGTGCTATGTGCTATGAAACACTGTTTTAAAGTTTAAATTTTGGCTAACGGATAAATAAGCCCGAGTAGCTTTTAGCAAAAATAGGAAGAACTGTGAATTATTTACAATGGCAAAATGGTTCCATTTCATTTTATAGCATTTTCAATTGAAAATGAATTTCATCTATGAGATACGGGAAGTTTGTAAAGCAACCAGGTGGGGTTTTTTGCAGTTAAAATACATTCATCTTTATAGTTGCAATCTTTCAGGCAATAAGATTCTTAAGCAGCTCTTACCTCATCAGAACCAGATCCGAAAATCAGCAAGTCAAAGGGGATGGCAGCAACCATGTCAATGAGGAACCAGCCTTTGAAGTAGTGTATTGCTATTTTGGCCGGGTCACTTACCACCTCCTCATTCTGATTTACGTACGTTGTTCTGAAGTTTATCAGGATGTCTATGATAAACATAATGTCCACAATCAAGTCCACCACGTTCAAAGGGCTACAGGAATAGCCACACTCGCGCCGCTTCTGCTCCTCCCTGTCGTTGAGGAGAAAGGCGGCGGAGTAGGGCGTGAAGATAGCCGTGTAGATGACCAGCAGCAGGATCAGCCAGTCCCACACGGCCTTGAAGGGGCTGTAGTGCAGGATCGTGAACTTGTTGATGCGCGGCGTCTGCAGCTTATATTCGGGCAGGACGTCTGCTCCTAAGGAGAGAACCTGAATAGAGAAAAGAAAAACAGACGCTACATAAAATGCCGTTATTCAGCCTCCAAGACTATACAAATATTCAGGTAATTATACAGCAAAATCTATCAGAGGGAATTCACATCACTGAATTCATAAATTGTGGAGAACGTATGAAAAACACATACATTTGAAGAAACCCCTATAAACCCCTACTAGTCAAAGTATATTTGACTTCAGAAAACCTCATTGGTGTTTTTGCTAGATATGATTTTCAATGAAAAAAGCTGAGATACCAAGTAATGGTTACTAGCTGCTTTGGAACATACTACTGGCCAGAAATAAAAATGCATAGCTGTTTTTAGAAAATCATGAAATCAGTTTGATACGTGAGTAATTCAGTTTTCAAACCTAAGAAAGGATTGGCTGTAATGAATAGAAGCAGCCTACTTGGATCCATGGTCAGGTTTATAGTCTGGGACAAATATACTTTCACCTGAACTCCTCCATCACATTTAGAGAACCAGGACGGGAGGCTGGTGCAAGGAGATGTTCAGAACAGTAACCTGGAAATGCTGCAGGAGTCTTAAGTACCAAGGAGTACTGAAACTCTAAGATTTGTTCTGCTTCATAAGGCACTGAGTGGACTAAAATAGTTCATTTTTTAGAGTCTTAGTTTATTTGAAAAAAAAAAGTGAGTTAGACTTCAATTGTGACTGTACCCAGTAGAAAAGTTCATGAGTGTGTGATTTTAAACCAAGTTTCAAGAACAAAGGTCAAAACAAATAAAGTTATCTAGTTACCCAGGGAAATGTCATTAGCTTAATACATGGGTTTTCAAGAATTTAAATTTTTGATGGCTCCACAAAGGGCACATAGAGGTATTTTTTTAAGGGACTGGTGGGTTATACTTTTATTTTATGAATATCCCACATATGTGCAATGGCCCTATTTTGAAATGAATTAGTCAAAGAGTGTTATCCTGTGTTCTTGGTAATTCTATCCATGTAGGTTTTAACTTAATTATAACAATAAGCTATCTCAGACAAATTTCAACTTGAAATTTTATTTTTATTGTTATACTTCATATATTTCCCCACCACACACAGAACAAGTTTCCGTGCCTATTTTTAAAAAAATAAAAAAAAACTTGAGAAATTAAATAACAACCCCAAATGAAGCACAACATGACTTTTAAATATAACAAAAAAAGTTCAGTTAAAATAGGCAAAGCTCTTTTTGATAACAGCTAAAGTGATTTAGCTAGCTTTGAAAAAAATGATAAAAAACCTAACCATTCTTTCAGTCCAGAGTAAATTTGTAACTGCCAGTATATGGAGGAAACAGGGCTTTAATTTAAGCTATTGTGAAAAGTGACAGGAATTATTACTAAAAGAGAAATCTGTAAAATAAAGTGATTTCATTATTTATGAAACACTAATAATCTTCAGAATCCAAGATCTATATCTATAGTTCTAGCAATATCTGAATTCCAAAATCCAAACAGGAATAATGTTTAAATAATTTATTCATTGATAAGTGCAGACTGATAGAACTCTGCTCCTATTATGCTTAGTACAGAAAACCAGTGTCAGATATATTCGTCTGGAAAAAATGGATCATCTCTTAAGGTGTCATTATGTAATGCCTCTTTCTCAAAAATCAGGGACTACTCAGAATGTAGAAAGTAAAATCCAAAACCTTATTTTGGCTCTCAAAGTCATCTAAAATATGGACCCATTCTGTCTTTCCAGTTTCTTCTCTCATTAGCTCCCTCTATGCACACAGTGTACTCTGGCAAGACATGACTAAAATTTTTCAGCTGCTGAGATCTTCCCAAATCCATAAATTCACAAAATTTTTACATTTAAAAAAAGGGTATGTAGCTATTCAAAGAGAACAAAAAAAAAATCATTTTTAAAGACAGGAGTCATTTTTAAAGTCATTGTCTGAGCTTGCTCCTTGCTTAAGTGACCTGCTTCTGACACCAGCCTCCCACATGGGACAATGTAAATAGTTGGTTTAGCAAAAGTTAGACTATATCATATAGCACCTTAGAGCTTCCCCTGAGAAGTAAAAACTGTGGGTGGAACTCTTTCCATTGCACATACGCAAAAATTGGGAAGGAAAGAATGTTACACGTAGAGGTAACAGAGTGAACAAAGGCAGGGAGGCAAGCAATAACATGCTGTGGTTGAGGAGTTATAAGCTGCTTTATAATGCTGATGGGTAAAACGCAAGGGAGATAGTGGTGGAGGAGAGCAGTGAATAGGACAGTGATAGGCTGTGGAAGAGCTAATGTGACAAGATAGGGATTTCATACTTTCTTCTTTAGGTCAGCATTTCTCATACTTGAATAAAATATAGACTCCTTTTAAGGTCAAGATACTTATTGCAGAACCCCAATAATGATTCATCAATTAACATTAATTGACAATGTTAGGTAAATATGTACAAAAACAAATCTAGGTTAAAACTTCTTATGCTCATACCTCTTAATATGACTTAATATGACTGTTGTGGATTGAACTGTGTACCCTCCAAAAATATGTTGAACTTCTCATCTCTACTTCCTGTGAATGTGACCTTATTTGAAAATAGAGTTCTTTGGCGATACAGTCAAGTAATATGAAGTCATAGCAGATTGGAGTGGGCCTTGATGAAATAATTGGGATCCTTATACAAAGAGGGAAATTTGGGTGCAGAGACACAAAGACATACAGGGAGAATGCCATGTGACAATGGAGGCAGGTATGGCTGCCAACCAGGGACCACCAAGGACTGGAGGCAGCCACCAGAACCTGGAAGAGAAGCATAGAACAGATTCTCCCTCAGGGCCTCCAGAGGGAGCCTTGATTTTGGATGCCCAGCTCTCAGAATTGTGAAAGAATAACTTCCATTGTTTTAAGCCACCTATTTTGTGATATTTTTTTATGATAGCCCTAGAAAACTAACACAATGACAAAAATATAAACAAATAAATTATAAAAATATTTGCAAAACTATCATCACTAATTTACATACTAGTAACGAGTACATTTGACATACCCGATTGAACTTTGAGTATTATGTGTGGTTTGATCTAATAGGTAAAGTATTTTTCTCTATTCAAACCCTCAATGCCTTTTTGTAAAAGCATGTTATCAAAATAGTATTACAAACTTCAAAAATTTTATTCCTATTTTAAGATAACCTGACCTAATTCTTAATTCAAATTTTATTCCTACTAGGTGTTTAAAACCAATTTAAAAGGTGCTACTTGATATTGTACAAAAATTTTTATTTACTTGAAGTTCAATTTTGCTTTAGAGCATTATTGAGTTCCACATTAAGTAATTATCTAATCAAAATTTTCTAGAACTAGCTTCAGAAAGGTAGTTCATTTGTTATATCCCAATATACCTACTGATGCCAAACTATTGAAATTTGGTATACACAACAATGGAGCATGCTTTGGAAATGCACATGTAGTAACTGGTATGGTACTTAAAGTTTTGGTACAATTTCTTTCAATTTCTGTATGACTATGGCAATTTTATATAATCATTCAATTCTTTCATGAGTTCTACCAGCCAAATGACTTCAAACACTTACATTTATACAACATGCTTTAGTATCACGAGGTCTCATTATAAATCCAAAACAGTCTTAGGTACTGAAGTCAGGTCAGATGAAGTACTCTGTTATTAAGTGATTATCTTATTGATTCAGAAGATTATTATNTATCACGAGGTCTCATTGTAAATCCAAAACAGTCTTAGGTACTGAAGTCAGGTCAGATGGAAGTACTCTGTTATTAAGTGATTATCTTATTGATTCAGAAGATTATTATATTGTTTTAACTTTTCACCAAGATACAGGAATTTTTAAGATTTTCCAGAACTCATAGCCCTTTGAGAACATTCCTTTCCATGGATATCAGTTTGAAAATTGTTGAAAGTTACTAGACAGAGAAGGCAAGGTGGCCAAGTTTAGTTTTAGATAAATGTATCTGACAATGGAATGGAGAAGAAACCAAAGAGGGGTGGACCAGAGGCTTAGAGATCAATTAGGACTTTGGTACTGAGAAAGAAAAAGGCAAGTGAGGTCAGGAAAGCTTGTGCTAAGGACCAGGTGGCAGAGAGGGAGAGGAGGAATACATTTGAGAAAGAGCCCCAGACTTTAAATCTGAAGACCTGGGTTTGAATTCTGGATACGATTTTTATGGTAACATTTAACATTTTTTGGATTTCAGTTACTTTTCACATGAACCATGGGGCTATTAATCTTTGCCCAAATCACCTATCTATATGGAGCTACTGTGTCACATCAGATAATTTCTATAATAGTAGCTGACGTAATTGAGAAATATTTACATTAAGGTAATTTTATTAAACCAAAACATTTATGAACCAATTTTGGAAAGGTGAACACTGACTGGACATTGATAATATTAAGTAATTGTTTCAGTTAACTATTCCTTGTAACAAACTAAGCTAATTCTGTTCCACACAGTGTCAACTGGGGTTATTCAGTGATACTTGGTTGGTGGCTGAGGTTGTGTGGAAAATCCAGGAAAGCTTTACTCACATGTCTAAAAACATCGTAGGGATAGTTGGAAGGCTGGGCTCTCTCTCTCTCTCTCTCTCTCTCTCTCTCTCTCTCTCTCTCTCCACACACACACACACACACACACACACACACACACACATGGAACTTCTCCATGTGGTCTTTTTAATAGGGTAGTAAGATGTCTTATGTAGATTTTCAGTACACACACACACACACACACACACACATGGAACTTCTCCATGTGGTCTTTTTAGTAGGGTAGTAAGATGTCTTATGTAGATTTTCAGTATTCCCAAGAGAGAAGTGGAAACATCCAGTCCTCTTAAGGTCAAGTTCTGAAACTAGCCCAGCATCACTTCTTCCATAATTTATTGGTCAAAGCCCGGATTCATCAAAGTGGAAGAATAGTCTTTTCCTCTTGATAGGGAATGACAATCATGGGAAAGAGAAGGAATCAATTGTGGCCACCTTAGAGATAAGCT